GGGCGAGCATGTTTGGTGTGACAGGGATTCGAACCCGCGACCCACAGATTGCGACAATAATAAATACGAATGACTATAGCTAAAAGAAAAAGCTAACGTTAGTTTCACAAATTTTATACAATACTCTTAGAAACTTGTTTCTTTGTTGCGAGTTTAAGCAATCATAATGCAGTCGACCTTTTTTTTATGGGGGGGATTATTAAATAAACAAATTGGTGATATTATATTGTGATATATTTTTTTTACCAAAACTTGTATTTGACGTTTCCGACATTCTTATTGTAAATATTGCAAACATAATAATGCACACTTCAAACAACCTGGAAAGTCTTCACCCATTACTAACATTGTAATTTTGTCCACTGTACACTACCACAGAACTTTTCTTTCATTACAAACTTTATTTCATCATCGTTTTCTACAGCTTACACGGAGCCCGGCATTGCCAGGTGGCCACTCGACTCGCAATCTGAGGGTCGCGAGTTCGAATCCCCGTCACACCAATCATGCTCTCCCTTTCAGACGTTATAATGTGACGGTCAATCCCACTATTCGTTGGCGGTGGGTGGGGATGACTAGCTGCTTTCCATCTAGTCTTACACTGCTAAATTAGGGACGGCTAGCCCAGATAGCCCTCGTGTAGCTTTACGCGAAATTCAAAACAAATAGCTTACACGATCCCAAAGTCCTCTCACTCATTAGAACTATTGCTGTAATGTAATACTGTACACCTTACACAATCCTCCCAGAGCTCTCTCACTCATTAGAAATAATGTTCCAATATAGCTTGCACGATCCCAGAGCCCTCTCACTCATTATAAATATTGTTCCAATATAGCTTGCACGATCCCAGAGCCCTCTCACTCATTAGAAATATTTTTTTAAATAATATTGTACAGCTTATACGGTCCCAAAGACCTCTCAATCAATATAAATGTTGTCCCATAACAATATTGTACAGTTTACACTAGCCCAGAACCATTTTACTTATTACAAGTTTTATTACAATGCAATATTGTACATTTTACATTGTTCAAAAACCGACTCACTTGTCAGAGGTGTACAATTTAGGGTATACTGGAAACCTCACTCATTACAAAAATTATGTCAGCGTAATTTATAGGATTTATATGGTTCTAGAACTTCGTCAATCATCACAAATACCTTTCAAACGTAATTATAGAAAAATTTCTTGATCGAGAATCTTATTACAAACTTATTTCATAATCATTTTATACAGTTTTTACTAGCCTATAATTCCTCACTCATTAAATATATTGTTACAACATTATATAGTGCAGTTTATGCTGTACATCTTACCCTTCATTTAGTACAAGCACATTTCTAACATATCATTGAACATATTTACCCAATCTTGAAACACATACATAATTATTACAAACATTGTTCGAACATAGTGTTGTATAATTACTCTCTTCCAGAACTTTTTCGTTTATTAACATTATTGTTCGAACATGATGCTGTACACTTTATATTTTTCGCAAATATTCACTCACCTCAATTATATGATGTGCATCGCGTAGTAAACTTTGTGATGAAACCGCGTAATAATTGTCTAACACATAACTCACTTTTTAGAAATAAAATGGTTTACTTAGATCAGCAGGTGGGAAGGCTTAACAATATCAACATCGCTCTTGGCGTACAGTTCGTAACCGAAGTATTATGAACGCTATCCTGCATTGACTTGGTATCCTCTGAATCACGTAGAAAAACGAAGGTGGCGCCATTCACTTCGTGCGGACATTATCGAATTTTGTTAGAATGCTAAAATCTCTTGACAATAAGTTAAGAAAACCAAGTCTTAACCAGAAGATAAATATAAAGAAAGAAGAGAACATGAACTTGACTGTTGTTGAAAACCACAGTTTTGGGATTTCGAGAACTTTAAAAGCAGAGACATGAACCTCTGTACTATAAAATGCTGTCAAGTGTCAAACCCGAACTAGCAAACACAGGACTAAGATACTTGTTTGAGAGTGTAAATGTGAAATAAATCAAACGCAGGACGAAGATACTTGAATAAGGGTGTAAATTTGAAACAAATTAGACGCAATAATACTAAGATACTTGTTAATGGTGTAAATTTGTAATAAATTAAACGCAGGACCAAGGTACTTGATTAAGGGTGTAAATGTGGAACAAATCAAACGCAATAATACCAAAATATAGAAATAAGATAATTGTTAAGGGTGTAAATACGGAATAATTTTTGCAATTATATATTTTCAATATTGTAATCAAAATACACTATTTAAAGGGGACAGAGTATTAACTGGTTTGTTTGTCTCCATAGCACAAAGCTTCACAATGGACTATTTGTTATCTGTCTACACGGAGAATTGAACCCCGGAGCTCAGCATTGTAATTTCGTAAAGTCACCACAGACTCACTGGGGGACTGGGGTATTTAATGTCAGTATATTAGTAAAAACTAACCTAGAGTAGTGAGCTAAATAAATTTATAAAAAACGAAGTAGAGATAGTGACTTGGAACATTTAAGCAGAAAAAAGCGTAATACAGCAGCATCTTCATACCATCAATGAGGTATTAGTTTCATCTCAAAACAAGGCTTAAAACAATCGGCAAATAAAAATATGGTACAAGCTATTCTGAAGTCTCACATGAAGAATTCGTATAAAATTAAAATGAGGAGCAGGCATCGGCATTTCTGTTTACGACATGTGACATATATAAGGCCATGTTTACTGTCTGCATCCGGCTGTGGGAAGACAACCTCTTATAGTGAGCAGGAAAATAAAAATGAAATTAGCCACTAATGACAGGTGATAAGATGGATTTAATTTGTTTCATAAAGCTACACAAGTGCCATCTGCACACATTCATTCTAAATTTTGAACTAACAGACAAAAGAGGAAGTCAGCTAGTCAACAGCACCCATGACCAACTCTGGTATACTTTTATAGTGTAACCACGCCTCCAAAGTGAATCGTGAATAATCGTATTCGCAGGCTTGGTTCGCTAAATACTAGACCACGCTATCAAAGGGACAATAACTGAAATTCTAAGAGCATAAGAATCAAAGCAAAGAATATGTAATAATATTTCAACCACATTATATCTGCCATATTCGGTGCCTATCAAATCAGCTGGGATGCAACAAAGTAGTGGTCTATTTTTATCATCAGATGCTTTGTTTGTTTGCTGATACGCAAAGCTACTCGAGGGATATATGTGTTAGTTACCCCCCTAAGTTAGAAGTGATAGATTAGAGGGAAGACAGTTAATTAACACCACACATTGTCAACTCTAGGGCAACTCTTCACCAAGGAAAAGTGGAATTGACCGTCACATTACAACATGTCCCCACGGCTGAAAGAGCGAGCATGTTCGGTGACGGGATTCGAGCCCTCGACCCACAGATTGCTAGTCGAGTACCCTAACCACCGGACCATTCTCGGCTTCTGTAGATTGCTAGTCGAGCACCCTAACCACCAGACCATTTTAGGCTTCTGTAGATTGCTAGTCAAGTACCTAACCACCAGACTTTAAGTACAATATTAAGCAGTTTTAACAATGTTTTGGCATAGCTACTATCACATTGAAAATATTTAGAATATTTTTCGTGTGAAGTAGTACTGAAAAATATTAAAAACTGAAAACTTACAGTTTCTGTTGAAATATAAGCAAAGCCGTAAATAAAGCGGTGGCCTTGAACCTGCTACTTGTTTCAACCCTTGTTTATGTGGATGTACGTGTTGCTAATGGATTTGTTTAATCTCCGTGTTTACGATATTTATCATGCCAAGTAATACTTAACTTAACATAAAATAACATTAAAGAAAACAAGGGACCTTTTAGTCCATCTAAGCAGTCCCAGCCACTAAATTAAACTAAACCCTAAAAATCTCAAAACCTGCCCTTATCATTCACATATTTGTCAAACTTTCCCTTACAATCCATTAAATTCACTACATCTCAAGGCAACCCGTTTCAAAGGCCATACACCCTGTTAGAAAAATAAAACTGCCTTAACTGAAAATGACTCCTATTTATCTCTTTGTAATCTAGTCTTAATATTGTCGCCATTAAGTGTGAAAAATATGATGCATCAACACTATAAATTCCCTTTACACTGTTAAACACTTCATTAAGATTCCCTTTAACCCTTCTTTTCAAAGAGAAAACACGTTTAGTTATCTTAAACTCTCCTCGTATGACAGACTTTTCAATCAAATATCATACTAGTTGCTCTCCTCTGAAACCTTTTCAACAATTCAATTTCCTTTCTAAGGTAAGGAGTCTAAGACTGAACACAATACTCCAATGTGGCCTAACCAGTGGCCTATACAATGAAATTATAATCTCTTGTATTCAATCTTTCTGTAAATGCAACTTAAAATTATATTTACCCAGACATTAGCAACAGTACATTGCTTAAATGGGCTTAAGAGACCGATAAACCAGAAAATCAATATATTTTTCTTACATAACATTCTTAAAGTTATTCCCATCAAAATTATTGTCATAATTTAAATGGTGATATTCTAGATTACTTTTATTATAATTATAAGACATTTGCCATTTATTCGTCCAACTCACCGAATGATCAAATTCTTTTTGTAAAGCAGTAACATTCTCCTCACAGGCAGCAACATTGAGAATTTTATTGTCATCAGCTAACTTAAATAATTTATTGATCATTCCTTCATCTATGTCATTGATGTGAACCAGAAAGAGAAAAGATTTTAACATTGAGCCCTGAGGTACCTCACTTATGACATTAATCCAGTTTGACTGAACTGCATTTATAACAGTCCTTTGCTTTATTCCATCTAGCTAATTTTCTATCCAATGAGTCAACTTATTCCAACACATACCCAACAGAGATAACTTTTAAAAAGCCTTTTATGTGGCACCTTGTCAAATGCGTTTTTAAAATCTAGATACACCGGATCCACACCAGTACTCTCCTCTCACCTACATGAGTAGTAAACTCTTCAAAGAATCTCAAAAGATTAGTAAGGCAAGATTTTTCCTTAGTGAAACCAAATTGATTATCCAATAAAATTTTAAACTTCGTTAAATGACTTTGCAAAGCATATTTTTTTATCAAAGAACCTTTCAAACCTTTTTCCCTCCATTGATGTAAAACTAATAGACCTATAATTATTGGGACAATTTGTTATCACCTTCCTTGAAAGGAGGAGTAACATTAGCCAATTTCCAATCTTCTGGCACCTGCCCAAATACTCAGAAGAATAGAAGCAAGTGGCGCATATATCCAATCCTTAACCTCTTTTAAAACCTTAGGGTAAAGATTATCTGTCCCAAAGCTTTATCATTATTTAAACTTCGCAATGTTTTCTTAATAAGCTCAGATTGTCTTATTCATTCTTACTTCCATCCACCAACTGTTCAGGATGAAGAATATTTTTTAAATCTTCATTACTAAAAATTGAAGGAAGAGTTAAATTTAATAATCTAGCCATTCCATAATCATCAGATATTAGCTTTCCTGTAACATCCCTTAAAGGCTCTATTCCCATCCTAACATTTTGCTTACCTTTAATGTATTTGAAGACATCCTTACTATTAACTTTTACATTTTCAGTCAAGGTTTTTTCATATACTTTTTGATCTACAAATTTCCATTTTGACCAACTCTCTTAATCTTCTATAATCCTACAAACCACTCATCATCGCAGACAATTTAAACTTTTTATATTAATAATCTGTTCCCTTAATTTTATCCTTTTTACCCTTTGTGAGTCAACCTGTTTTATTTTTTCCATAAGAAACATGCCTATCCTAAATTCTTAGATTTTTTGCACACTTGATCAGTATTTCCAACCAATTTACTTGCTCAATTCACAGCAGATAATTTTTGTCTCATCTCTTCAAAATTTGCTTTTTTAAACAAAATTTGGAACGAAAATCATGTTATTCCTTATCTCTATATACAGCAAAATATTATGTCTAATTGAGCAATGATCACTTGCACCAAGGTGTTCCCCAGTCTCCATCCTATGAATAATTTTTTATTAGAAATTAACAATAAATCTAAAATAGTATTGTTTCTAGTAAATTCCCTAACCAATTATTGAAGAAAATCATCCGAACAGTTTCTAAAAACCTGTCTCCCTCATGAGTTGTCTCTAAAATCTCCCAATTTATATGCCTGAAATTAAAATCTCCAATAATCATAACCTCGTTAACAGTTGAATTCTTTATCTCACTGTAGAGTTTCTCATGAATTTCATCTTGTTGTCTGTAACAAATTCCAACTAAAAGCTTTCACTTTTTATAACCACTAAAAGAAACATAAATAGATTCAACCTCATTGTTGTTGACTTTTATATCCTCAACTTGAATGGTCTGTAACTCACATTTTGTATATAAAGTCTCTCCTTATTAACAGAAATTATGTTTCAACTCTAAGTATGATATTCATGACATTACTGATCTATTCCGAAAATTAACTTTGACGATATAAATAATTTTAAGTGATTATGAAGCTTTTCGTGAAGGTCCCTCGTCATACACAGGGTCAAGTTCATTATATTATCGAGCAGTCTCTGACTCAACAGTAGAAAACATGACTATTTTGGTAGGTGGTGAAGT